CTCGAACTGTCAGGCAGGTAAATATAACGCCCCACCTTTTCTCCTTGTGCCTTCCGATGGTGACATTAAAAGGGCCAAACAAGTCAACGCCTGTATAAGTAAATGGGCGCATGAACGGAGTTATGCGGTCGACCGGCAGCTGACCCATCATAGGTTGGTTTGGCTTTGCTTTGTCGATCATACACTGCTGACACCTTCGCTGAACTGCCTTGAGGAGCGATTTCAAATTCGGTATCCAAAACTGTTGTCGGATGGCATTAATTGTGATTGCGAAATTCTGGTGATGATTTATTTTGTGAAAATGTTGTACGATCAAGGTTGACACGATATGTTTGGCAGGCATCAATATCGGTCGTCGAGCTTGCATTGGTAGGTATGTTGCGGTAGCTTTGTAAAGGAGCTAAACCTTGAAAAAGACAGAATTGCCGTGCTGAACCACTAAAACTGGAACGGATATTTCTTCTGGGAGTACTGGTGACGCTGTGATCGTAGACGTGGGCCAATACTCTTCGTCATGCTGTAAGAACTCGGGGCCTTTACCCAACGGCTGCTGCTGTCGAACTTTGTTGGACACAAGGGGCGTGTTGCTACGTCTGCTGCATTTTGACAAGTTGACACCCATCGCCACTGCTCTTTTGACGTAGTGCAGAGAATCTCGGTTATTCGATGGCCGACGAACGCCTTATACTTTCTTTCTGACGAGCTAACCCATTGCAGAACCGTCTGGGAGTCGGTCCAAAAAACTGCTCGCTCTATGCTGAACTCGTGGCTGTCCTCGATGAGCTTGTACAAGCGGGTACCCAATACTGCCACCTGTAACTCGAGTCTCGGGATCGACATCAGTTTCGCTGGCGCTGTGCGTGTTCTACCCATAATAAAGCGAACGTCAACTCCTCTAGCATGAACTACTCGCACGTACCCTACCGCAGCAAATGCGACTTGACTGGCATCGACGAAAGTGTGGATTTCTACTTTGCCACCGTATAAGATTCGCGGCGAATAACAGCGGGGTATCTTCAACTGCTTCACGTTAGGAAACTCTTGCCACCAGGGCCACCATCTCTTGCTTAGTTCTTGAGGCAGAACTTCGTTCCATCCAATCTCGCACTTCCACGCTTCTTGAATGAGAATTTTAGTAGTAATTAAAAATGCTGCTAACATACCAAATGGATCGAACACCGACATTACGATTCGTAACAACTCTCGCTTTGTCGGAGCTCGCATTCCGTGCAGGACATCTTTCGGCAAACGGTGGAACTTCGTGTGGAATTCGAAAACATCATCTCTAGTGTTCCAGAAGAGGCCAAGCACTTTGTCCACTGACTCGTTGCGTTCCAGACTAACCACTTCTCTCGTGGATAATGACGAATGATTCAAACGATCTTCTACTTCTTCGCAGTTGGAGACGAAGTTACGTAACTCGAACCCTGCTTGTGAATTGATGCTAACAATGTCGCTGCAGATACTGATGGCTTGTTCAGGCGTGTCGAAGCTTGCAACTAAATCATCGACATAATGCTTGTTAATTATAGTCGTTGCGGCGTCTGGAAACTGTGCCCGATACTCCTTGGCGTTTTTATTTTTTATATATTCGGCGATGCAGGGTGAGCAAACAGCACCGAAAATTAGCGACGTCATCACATACTCTGCCACAGGCTTGCTCGCATCACCATCACGCCACAAGTACCGTTGAGCGTGCTGATCAGCTGCGCGTATCTTGATCCGCGAAAACATTTCGCGTATGTCTGCTGACACTGCGACACGTCCTTGGCGAAATTGTAGCAAAATCTGTATCAACGGCTGTGCTTGCTCCGGACCCTTCATTAGTTGCGAGTTGAGTGACACGTTGCTTACTGCGGCTGCGGCATCAAAGACGATTCGCGTCTTTTCGGGCTTATGTCGATTGAATACAGCGAAGTGAGGTAAGTACCAAGCATTTTGATGTGGCTCTCCGGCTTCGTCACGGCTTAACTTTCTGGCATACCCTTTGCTCACGTACTTAGCCATTTCCTGTCGGTATCGTGCACCAAACTCGGCATCGTTCTTCATTTGGCGCTCCACTGTCAGTAAGCGTTTCTCGGCCATTGTTTTGCTGTTTGGCAACTTCGGTGGATATGTTCTCCACAGTAAACCGGTTTCATATTGCTTACCTACTCGTCTTGTTGTTCGGCGCAATATATCACGTGCTCGCTGGTCTTCATCTGACTCCAATGGCACTGCTGGCGGGTTGACTCTAAAGCTGTCTGCTGTGAAGTACTGGTGTACTAAGTCGTGCAGTTGCTGATATTTTTTCACCAACAAAACACGGGGGTTCAAGGTTGTAGGTAGCTTGGTTGGGCCGTACGCGACCCAGCCTAGTGGCGTTTTTACAGCTAGCGGGCTGTCGATGTCGGATTGCACTGTTGCTGAGGTCGCACCCAGGTATGCATGCTTTAGCCCGATGAGCAAAGCTGGTTTCGCACGACAGTAGTCTTTTATCGGCAAATCTTTCAAATGCTGAAAATTTTCCTTGGCCATAGATTGCTTAGGCAGGTTCAGGTTCTTCACCGTATATACCTCCCTCAGTAGAAACTTCCTCTTCGTTGCGTAGTTCTCAACTTCGATGCTGATTTTATGCGATTGTTCCGTAACAACGTTGTTGTCATACCACTGCAGCGTAAGTGGATGCAAGCCACCCTGGGCTCCGATCATCTTGGCCACTTCCTCTTCCATTATTGAAATTGACGAACCCTCGTCGAACATCGCTAATATCTCACGCTTATCTTTCGGTCCATATATGTTGACTGGCAATATTTTAAACAGTTGACCATGTGCGCTTTGTGTTACTTGACAATTCAGTAGTGGCTGCGCAATGACGTCCTCTGGTGTAGTTCGGCGTAGCATCTGCATTGTTGCATCTTCGTTGTGGAGTAGCTGGTTGTGATAGCGCTGGCAGCCACTTATGTTACACCTCCTTCTTGAACGACACTTTTGCGTGGAATGCCCCTTGCGTAGGCACGAAAAGCAAAGCTGTTGCGCCTTAACCAGGTCCCACCGCTCTTGAATACTGCTTGCCTTAAACGATTCACACTGTGCAAGCATGTGGTTACCACTACACTGATAGCAAGCAAGTGAGTCCCTTGGCCGCTCAATATGCATCAGCCGACGATGATTGCCCGACGATGCAGTCTGCCTGCCACCCTGTGTGTTGTTTGTCGGCCACTCAGAAAAATGTTCAACTGATGGATACGGTTGTATAGTCGCAGCATGCTTCGCCCAGTCGAACTGTCGGGTATGCGGTAACTTACCCACCATTTGCTCTAACAATGTTACGTTGGCTAAGTGCTGCTGGCAATTTGCAGACTTCAGAAATGCAACAACATTTCTCACTCTTGAGGAAAACGGTACAATCTGCTCCGGCTTATTATCGGCTATTGGCGGGAAATTCTGCAGTTTGCTGATTTGGAATTTAACCAAAATTCCGGGTCGCCCGAACCTGAACTCCAACTCGCTTATGACGTTCGGCACGTTGCTCGGGTAAATTAGCATGGCGGCGACAGCTTCTTTGGCGGGACCAACTAAGCACTTCTGCAACCTCATTAGGTTTTGGCGGTGGCTGTATCCAAAGTTTTCCGTGGTGTCGTTGAAATTCGCGAAAAATAGCGGCCAGTCTTTGACATTGCCGCTGAACACAGGCAAATCGTAAAGTTTTATTTGCGAGTCGGTCGGTGATACGACGGCTTGAGTATTGTCACGCTGTGCTGGCTGCACGCTCTGTTCTGGAACATTCTGTGGTTGCATGCCTTCGCGAAGCCTAATGATGTCTCTTTGACTCTCCGCAGTGCTTTGTCTAAGCTCTTCTACGGAAGCCCTTAACGCATTCAATGTGGCAATTATAGCATTCGCGGTGTCTTCTGCGGCTGCACCTGGCTGACCCTCCATGCTTTCAAACGATGACTCTGATTCACTCCCTTGATTACTCCTCGTAACACCAGCCCAATTCCGCAAGAAATATCTGTTGGTTTCAGACATACAAAATGGCCTCCGGTACCAACTTTATTCGTTTTCACCTACAGAGCACAAGTGTAAAAGTTGTTGAAGTGTAAGAACTGCTTCTGCTTACCGACAAAGGATATAAAACGAATAAAGTAAAGACATTTGCGTTGTATAAAAATGTATTATTAAGGTTTCGACTTGACAAACACGTATGCGCGTAACTTGTACATTTAAAACATATAAAATACGAAGGATTAAACGGCGGTCGGCAAGTTGTTAAGAAATCGTAGGCTGAACGTTGTAGGTTGAAGCTTAAGCGTGAAGCGTGGAGCGTTTTACACTTGTGTTCTGTTCGCGCGCTGTCTGGAGTCCTTCTCTCATGTAATGGCCGACGAGAAAAAGATAGCAAAGTTGGTTGCAGTTCTTATTCGCGGCGTTGCCACTTTTAGCAACTACCAGGGTTGCTAACAGCAAAGAAGCAAAAACTTGTGTCCAACAGAGTTCGGCAGTGAATAGCTCAGCTTATGAATCACCCTATTGTTCACTCAAACTTGCTCTCACTAAAAAATATTACTCTCTCACAATTGCTTGGCTTGGTTGTGTACCAGTGAGCATGAATATCTTTCACAATCGCTGATCGCTTCCACTTGGCTTGGCTTGCTTCTCTTTATGCAATTGTTTGAGAGATTCATAGCATACCGCTAGATGAGTTAAGTGGCTCATAGTTTATTCATGAATAAATACACAAATTCAGCGCCTCTGCAGCTTTGCTTTGCGCGCAAATGTATGTACATTAATGTATGTACACATGCAAATACACACATATGTATGTATGGATTTATGCACATATTCTCATGCACAGAAGAATAGATGCGTGGTATCTTGACCAGTTTAATTTATGTATGCTCTGCAGTTTTACTTTGCGCGCAAGGACGTTCGGGACGGTTGCGGTGGCATATATGCGAATAAGAATACGTAAAGAATTAAACTAAATTTTGTCATGACTGATCAAAACGATATATTAAGAAAGATTGATGAAGGTGTTTATCAATTAACGCAGAGGAACGGTAAAAGTCCAGTTTGGGGCCTGTTTGCTGAAATAAAGAGGGATGACGGAAGGATATTGGAAGGCTTTGTTTACTGCCGTAAATGTAAGGATTTGTTGAAGTTTAATGGCAAGCAAACAAGTAATCTGTTGCGTCACAAATGTTTCACCAGCACTTCTGAGCAGCAAATCGTCAAAAACGTAAGCCAAGATGACAAAGAATGCGCTGTCAATGCCTGTTCACAATGGATTATTGAAGATTGCCGCCCTTTTATTGCTGTTGAGGGGTCTGGGTTTGCAAAACTAGTGGCATTTTTTATTAAAATTGGAGCAAAGTACGGCGAAAATGTTGATATCCATGACCTACTTCCTAATGCAACCACTATCTCGCGAAGGATCTATAAAATGGGTGCAGAAAAGAAACAAGAAGTCAAATCTAGTTTAAAAAAAGTTGTTGATGAGGGAAGTGCTTCTGTAACCACAGATCTCTGGGCCGATAATTATGTAAAAAGAAATTTTTTGTGTGCGACGCTTCATTTTTTCGACGGTTCCAATTTAAAAAGCATAGTTTTAGGTGTCTAATCTATGGACTTCGAGAAATCAACTGGAATAAACATTCAAAGCAAATTAGTCAGTATATTTTCTCAATTTGATATTCAAAACCTTGAGTCAATAGTATTGTATGTATTTTACGTCAAGTTTTTAATTACATTAATTTCATTCCAAAAAAATTAACTAACCTTGAGTTTTATTATTTCTTATTTATTATTTATTAAATAAAATCTTTTAATAATGTTAACGCAACATACATACATATAGATTACTTTCCAGTTTGGGGTTGGGGTGGGCAATACCATAAACGTAAGTAATATGCCATTATCCATTGTATTTCGAACTTAAATTGCATTCTTTTTATGTACATATTTTCAATACGTATGTATATAATGTACTAGACTTGTTTGGTTTCGTCTAAGAAGACTAAAATATTTACACTTATTAACTATGGAGAAAATCCCCATCTCCAAATTCTCTAATTTATTTTTAAACAAATTTGCAAAATGAATAAATTATGAAGCTTCAAAAACCCCAGTATCCATTAAAAAGTTGTTTACTGGGACTACGTTCTTTTTTAACATGGTTTAAAAAGCTTTATAAATTGACGTTTTCATACATTTTTCAATTTACAAGCCTTTTTTAAAGCTACTTTATTTTTTATGAATATGGCTATAAGCTTTAGGTAAAAATATTTGTTAATAGAATAGTAAATAAATTACGATTACTTTTTATACCGATGCTCAATTTGTCACTCCCGCCACAATTTAAGTTGAAACATAGAAACTATAATTACAAAATAAGAAAGTAAAACCATCCTAAATACATTAATACATACATACATAATTAGCAGAAAAACTACGATACGAACAAGTAGTACCTGATTTTATATTCGTGGTATCCACTTAGGTCAAAGAGTTTAAATTTGATAAGCATAATTCACTTGTATTAAAAATCAGTCAGATTTATACCTATGGCTTTATAATCAAGCAATTTTTAAACTCTTATTTGCTAAAAAAAGTTCCTTGCACTTAATTTCCATAAAACATCCTTTTCTAGCGTTTGCTTCACAGCACAACTGCTCAAATGGCTTAAGTGGCTTGCGTGCTCATGAGCTCTTGCGTTTATTCACAAGCCTTCAGATTCATAATTTAAGCGAAACGAAGCCAGTGAGCAATATGAATTGGAGAGCTCATAAGCTAAAAACTTGTGAATACTTGCTCAACACAAGCTAACTAGCTCACAAGCCGGCGCTCTCTTCTTCATAACGATAAGTGAGCGGCAATCACACTTGCTTGCTCTCCGTAATTATTTCGCTTGCTTCACACTTACTGCCATCCCTAAATTGGCGCGTCAAGCGCCAAACAACTGTCAAAAATCCTCATGCCCATACAATTTGTATGAAGCATCCCACAATAACGCGGCGCTAACGCCGAGCAAATGGAACTTTCATTTTTGACAGGGCGTTACGTGTTGAAGTTGGATGCGGAAGACGGAAAGAAAGAGAAAGGACAAAAAAGTGAAAGAGGAAACGAGAATAAAAACGAGAGGATCTGTGAAAACGTCAAAAATTACGACGCGTTGATTTGGGGATAGCGCTGACACTCGTCGACAATGGATAACGCAACGCTTAGCGCTCCAATTTAGGGACAGCAGTTAGTTTCTCGCAAGCAGCTCAAAGTTGTGTTTTACTAATTCAGTGCAGGACTCTGGTGTCCAATGAAAACTCACGCATTTATTTAGAAGGTTGAGTGTATAGTTTTTTATTTTTCGACGATAACTGCAACGTACTATGCGGAATTCAAGTTTCAACAGTTTTCTTTTTAATTTTGTTACGTAGAGATTTTTTTATTCATTACAAGTAAAATTGGTACAAAATAGCTATGTTTGTTTAAATGAAAGCTGCGAATTTACATAATTTATGTTTGGAATGAAATTTTATAATTATATGTACAGCAAGCAACAAAAGATAGCACCTTAACATTTTGATCAGTCATGACTTTTTTCTTCTGTTTGTTTAATGTTAATTTTTTCGTATAAAACCATAGCTCACTGTCTAATAAAAACATCATAAGTCCAAATTTCAAACTTTATACAAAATTATAAACATTTCTTAAACTTTTTATTACAATTCATTGGTTTTTAATTTGGATTTCTAGAAAAAAATTTTGTTATGCAGTTTACAAAGTAATTTACAGAGAAGAAAGTGCATAATACCTGACTTTGTTTTATTATATTCTTTACATTTTGGAACTCCGCTTTTACATTGGCCCATTTCCCTTTGCAGTCTTCCACTGTATGTGCGGAATTTTTTTTTTTAATTTCGCGCCACGCTTGGTCTCTTTTGGACCGATCTTTGTAGTCTGAGGACGAATATTGCCAAATACATGGGTGCGCCTCTACAGCTAGTATCAAGTCATTAATGGCACTATAAGCCCACAACGAATTAACACTCGGCTTCTTCCTTTTTTTTGATACAGGTGCTGATACTAGTTTATCAGAGGCGCAGGATGCACTTGCAAATTCGGAGCTCACTGCATTTTGCATCGCAGCCAAGATTTCGTCGCCGGACTCCACGTTAAAGCTTTAAAAATAATTATGATTAGAATATACATTAAATTAAAAGGTATTTTACTTACGAAAGCAAGGATGTAGTTTTTGGACACACAATGACGAAAATATATAAATTAGTTAAAAAAGCGAAAGTGTTGTTGTGTATTGTTCAATTCAATTGCCGCACAAGAACACAATGAAAATTGCCGCATTTTTGAAATTTTTATTGACACATCATTGTAAATCGAATCGAAATTGATTGGGCACAGTAAGCACAATATCGGCCTTTATTGCCGCATGAGTCAACCTATAGTGAAATCACACGATTGGGACATAAAATGAGGCAATAATTGGTGTATTGATGCAAAGTGTTAAATTATGAAACTCAACAAAACCCTTATTAAATATAATAAGATAAGAAAGAAAGAATATAAAAAATACTGGTTTCACTTTCTTAAACATCATAATATTTTTATGTGGAGGTACTTGGCAGATTCGCAGCTTCTTCTATGTTTGTTTCCTTGACGAACATAAATTAATGGAAAATTATAAGGCGTCTGAAAGGCAAGTTTCAGTAAAAATCATACATGTACTTAAAATTTCATTATGTAGACGCACTACTGGCTTTCTGGCTTGGGCTTGCCGTTGATAGGTAATGATGCCTATTTATGAAGTTCCACATAACAGCGCAAGGCTCAGCGTAGGCGATGTTAAAAACCTAAAGACGCTGCAGAGGGATAACCTGGATCTACGCAATAAATATACTATTACAAATACAACGGATCTAATCGAGAAG